GGGGGGGGAGGGCTGGCCATCCCTAGGTGACAATCCCCAGGTGGCCATGTCCTTGGGGTGGCCATCCCCAGGTGGCCTTGGCCCTGAGATGGCCATGTCCTTAGAGGTGTCCATCCCTGAGTGACTAGGGAGGCCATGCCCCTTGGGGGTGGCCATATCTCTAGGGGTGACCATCTCCAAGGTGACCATCCTCGGGTGGCCATGTCCCTGGGGGTGGCCATGTCACTTGGGTGACCATGTCCCTGGGGGTGGCCAGCTCCAGGTGACCATCCCTGGGATGGCCATGTCCTTGACGGTGACCATCCCTAGGGGTGGCCGTATCTCTGGGAGAGACCATCCCTGGGTGATCATCCCTGGGGCAGCCATATCCCAGGGTGGCCGTGTCCCTGCGGGTGACCGTCCCCAGGTGACCATCCTGGAATGGTCATGTCCCTCAAGGTGGCCATATCTCTGGGCATGACCACCCCAAGGTGACCATTCCCAGGTGGCCATGTCCCTTGAGGTGGCCATGTCCCCAGGGTGGCCATCCCTGGGTGCCTATCCCCAGGAGGCCATACCTCTGGGGGTGACCATCCCTGGGTGATCATCCCCGGGGCAGCCATGTCCCCTGGGGTTGGCCGTGTCCCTGGGGGTGACCATCCTGGAGTGACCATCCCCAGGCGGCCATGTCCTTGGGAGGTGACCATCCTTGGGGTGGTCCATCCCAGGGCAGCCATGTCCCCTGGGGTTGGCCGTGTCCCTGGGGGGGTGCTGACCATCCCCAGGTGACCACGTCCTTCGGGGTGGCCATGTCCCTGGGGTTCCCATCCTCGGGTGGCCATATCTCTGGGGATGACCACCCCTGGGTGACCATCTCCAGAAGGCCGTATCTCTGGGGGTGGCCATCCCCAGGTAGCTGTGCCCTTGGGGAGATGACCATCCTTGGGAGCAGGCCATCTCGGGGTAGCCATGTCCCCTGGGGTTGGCCACAGGCCCAGGGACATCCCCACCCCCCTCCCCACCCCATGGCCAGCGCGGGCGCCGCGGTGGGATGGGCCATGGGCACACGGAGCAGAGCAATGACATTGTAATTTCCACCTGAGCGTCGAGCAGGCGCTTGCGGCCCTCGGAGGCGTCGTGGGCGCCCAAGTGATCCCTGCGCAGCTCCTCCTCCACCAGCATCAGCCTGCGGGGCCAGGCTTCACTGGAGTCACTCG